GAGAAATAGGGATGTTATCATTTTAAAAAATTCAGTTATCAAGAAGAATAGAGAAATTCTAATTAAACATTAAATTTTAATTAATATTTTTTTCAGCTGAAACATCATGAATATGGCAACAAAGATAAGGACAACAATCTAAGCAATGTAATTAGTAAATATTTTTTCTTATTCAAATTCAGACATAAAATGGCTGGCTACTCTTTTAGAAGTTTCATCTACTAGACTGGATAGCTAATCCTTGTTGCAGACATCTACTTGGACATATTTTGTTAAACACCCACAGATCCTGCTTTATACTCCAGCTATGCTGCATAGACCTTAGTTACAGTTTTTGGGAGAGAGCGCACAATTTAGTGTGGTCAATAATTGAACACCACTAATAAATTTAAACTCTTAGTCACAATGACTTTATGCTAGCACAACCACTGACAGCTTACAAACAGTTTTTTCTAACTACAATTTAACTTATAAGGCATGAGTCAACCTGTGGTGTGATTTTCAGGCATTTTTTAATGTAAGTATCATATCAAGGTTACCACCATGATATTCTTATGATTGGAATGCTACTCAGTCATGTGCTCATTTTATTATATATATATATATATATATATATATATATATAAAATAAAAGCACATGACGAAAGTAGTCCATACAGGTACCATATACAGCAGCTAGATGTTTTCCATAAAAGCTATCTGCATGCAATCTGTGCAGTTAAGCTTCAAGGTAGGACATCTAACATAGACCTGTTTAACAGGTGTAATATTGGAGGAATCAAGACTTTTATCATACAGTCTCAGTTACAGTGGACTGGTCATATCTTGAGAATGTCTGATGACAGGATACCCAAGACCCTAATGTACAGTCAGTTAGATCAGGGCCCTAGGAATGTAGGATGCCCATGGCTAAGATACAAAGACAAGCTGAAAAGCAACTTGTCAGCAGTCAATATACCACATAACACCCTCGAGCGCTTAGCCTTGGAGCGGGTAGAATGGAGATCAACATGTTTTAGTGGACTCAGCAATTTTCAATCTGCTTGTCTGAATCATCTTCAAGAAGTGAGAGCAAGATCTAAAAGGTCAGCCAATCTAAAAGTGATCTCATCTCACAATCCTCACACTTGCTCCATATGTGGCCTCCTTTGAAAATCACTAGCAGTTCTTAAATGCCACTTAAGATTATCGCACAAACTTTTATAACTGAATCAATAAGCTGTCAGATCCTTATACGTCAAAACCAACAGGAGAGTCCATTATTATTATATATATATATATATATATATATATACACACACACACACAAATTGGATGACAAAAATGTTTTTTTTCATATTTTTTAGTTGACATGCAGGATTAAAATAAAGTTTTTGAAAGTTTTACAAAATTTTCAGTTGCACTTGCATCCTTATATTTGCACTTGCAACCTTATATTTCACATTGATTCTTTCAAAAATTTTATTTTTAAATTACAATTTCAAAAGGAGAGAAACTCATACAAATATATGCAAAAATTTTGTTTATAAAATGTAAACAATGAATCACATGATTTCTTGCTACAAAGTCAGTGGCTTAACTTTTATATATGTTTCTTGCGTTGAAAATATTGTTATTGACTGTATAAGTGAGTGGACCAAGTTCTCAACTCAGTACGTGCAGTATAGTGATTTTCTAAGCCCAGCTTAGATGTGGCACAAGGCCGAAATTATGGGTCACCCAGTGAAGATCGAACTCACTACTCAGTCGTAATTGATCTAGCAAAACAAGCTTTATAACCATTACACCACGTCGAGGTGCCCCAAATGATTTTGTAAGCATTGCTTAGATGTGGCACAAGGTGGAAAGTACGGGGCACCCAGTGAGGATCGAACTCACTTTTCAGAAGTAACTGATCCAGCAAGACAAGCGTGCTAACCATTACACCACGCCGAGGTATCCTAGTATGTGCAGTATATATACCAACGTATGTACCATAACAACAATGGTAAATAGCTTTTGCTAAGCCACTTAAAACAATTGCTAATTATTTGTCTTGCTAATTATTTCAACATCACTGTAAAGTAATTGACTGACTTCAAGGACTGAACTCTTGCGTATCTTCCATTTTAGCATCCAAAATAATTTTTGCATGCCTAACACAGAATTAACCTCTTCAGATTTCTTTATCTAGCTTCATATTCTGAATACACATTTTAGAATTTGGAAACAAAGCAAGACCATACTTTGGAGAACTAATAATAAAATAAATATATCTAGAAAATGGATAGGCATTAAAAATAATATTTGGGCACTATTTTTTTTTTCTATTGGTAGATTTTATATCCAACAAAGATAAATAAAAAAAATTATTTTAATTATTTTGGTTTTAAAAATTCTAATTATTGATTCTAGCAGAGAATTTGAATTATAAATATAATTCAATTTTTCTGCTAGAATCAATAATTTAGGGAGGGGTGAATTCTCAGAATATGAGGCTAGAGATGAATTAGTAATCTAAGAGAGTTAATTTATTTTAAAACTCAGTATTTGGTGTGCAAAAAACGTTTCAGAAGCTAAAATGAAATATAATCGAATGTTCTGCTAACATTTGTTATGTATGTCACCAATGAAAACAATAATATATGTTTGAGAGAAACGAGTCTAATCTTAAGCACAAGATAAAGATCTTTTGTTATGTAAAGGTCGTGTGTAAACAACAGGCGCAGCTGCTAACAAGTTAGCAAGACAAAAAGATTTGATTCAAATTGATTTTGTTTCGTGCTTGTAGTAAACAGAGTTTATTTACACACAGGATCTGAAACAACTACCAATAATGAATTTTAGAGACGAACTGTCAAAGATAAAAAAAAGAAAAAAAACAAAAAAGAAAAAAAAACAAACGCAAGGTAGTACTGTCTGAATTAATTTCTGGGATGAGGAGTTTTGTTTATATTATTTATTTATATCTAGACTGCTGTCCTCATCTTTGTTGTTATTCACAACGTTTCGACCGTTGTGCTCTTCGGTCTTCTTCAGTCGATCCAAGTAACCTTCACGGTTCAGGTTGAAATTCCCTGAGCTGAGAGTTACCCAAATCAACAGACACCTGAAAAAAGCCGGAGGGCACAACGGTTGGAAAAGTTGTGATAAAAAATAACAACAAAAGGTGAGGTGAGTAAATAAGTCATAATTAATTCATTGTGTGTAGTCAAAATAGGAAACAAAAAAATCAAGTCTATTTTCAGATTTAAATCCCCCCACCAAAAAAAATAAAAAAAGATATAACCAATTATAATAAAAAAATTTGGCTTGTTTTGCATAAGAAAACTAAAAAGAAAGCATTCATTTTTATTTTTCAGTTAATTATTTGAATAATAAAAAAGTATGGGGGGAGGGCAAAAGGCAGACAAAAAAAGATTTGACTCAATCAAATGAAAACTTTCAAATTTCATCAAGTCGTTAATAAATTCTGTATCATCTAAAAAAGACGAAAAAATCCATTGAAACAAAAGGTGGGAGGAGCTGCTGGCACTGCTGTACCAAAAAGCGTACCTGCACGCTTACGTACAGGTGAACGGTGGTTTGAATACATTTCACCTCACCTTTTCTTTCACAATGATATAGTTTTAGTTAGAATGAAATATTGTTATTTTAAAAATATTCCTTCCGTTTGTTTTGTACAAAAAGTGTAAAGTTTAAAAATTAAGGATTTACGTTTTGTTAAATTTTTAACATGAGCTCGCGGATCCACTTTTGTCCAGTCGTACCGAAATGTGTTTTTAATCTTTTTTTTTTTACTAAACTCATTTCTTAAAAAAAAAAAAATTAATTGGCGATAGCGCTTGATATTTAGTTTTACCAAGCTACATCCAAATCCAGTGTAAAAGACACGTACCAATTTATTGATATGAAATTCGCTAATTTTAATTAGATCAATATACTGATTAGATAATTTAATTAACTGAGTTTATCACCTGTCACAGGTAAAAATGAAAATTGGGACAGAATACGCAAAAAAAAAAAAATGCATCTTCTTTGCTACTCCACAATTTAAAAAGCAGAGATATAGTCATATAATTTAGAAATAAATTATTAGTCTTTTTATTTTATTAAAAGAGCATTGGCATTATTGTCCATTGTACTGTTTGGTGTGTACAAAAACAAACTGGAAAATACAATAAAAAAAAAAGAATAAAAGGACTTGACATTTACAATAAAAGACTGCCAGATATTTGATCAGATGATCATTTTGTCAGAAATCGTACTTACGAAAAACTGAAAACAAAATGACTTGTACGAGTGATTAGTAATAATTTTTCCAACCTTCAAAATTAAAATTTTGTTAGTATTTATTTACGTTTTTCCAAGAGTTTTTTCTTTTATTTAACCTGGAACATTTTATGATCAATTCAATAATTAACAAATAATGGAAATAAAAAAAGTGTGTTTAAATTTTAAAAATAATCTTCGAAATTATTTTTTAAGTTTTTTCTTTTGTTTTTTTTTTTTGTTTTTATTTTTCCAGCTTTGCGAAAGTTTATTTTGAAATCGTTCACAACACAACTGTTGTCCACTTGAGTTTCAGATTTGTTTTGGTTAAAAAAAATATATATAACCATTTTAGTTACGCTTTCGATATTTAAGATATCAATTATTACAGTAATCCAACTCAAAGAGAATTAAAACAAGAAAAAAAAAAACAATTTTAAACTTATCAAAATAAAATAAAGGCGTGTTTCGTTTTTTTCACGCCACTTGTTTGGGAGTATTAATTACTAGTTACTCGTTTATATTAAACAGCTCATAATTTTCAACCTAGATTGCTGAAATACAGAAATACATTAGACTATCAATGCAACAGTTTTCTCACAAAAACAAAATATACTTAATTTTTACCTCGTTACTTAAACTGAAAAAAAGGCACATTAAAAATATTTTGTGTACATGCAGACGCCAAGAAAATGGATTTGCCTTTTCACACATAAAAAAAGACATTAATGATCATTAAACGAATTTACCATTTTTGGGTAAACTCCTGATGACCTTAACAGCAGCATCGAATTTATCGCTAGGTGTTGTGGTCGACATAATATCGCTTGTACTGCTTCTACCCCGTGCATTCATGTCGGCTTCTTGTTTAACGAGCAGCCATTATGTCATCTAGAGGGAGCCACTATCTCTTGGGGAAACAAAGGGACATAACTGCTGCTAAACCGATTATCTAAGGGAGATAATTGAGTTTTAGAATGCAGGGGAAACAATTCAGTTTCACTGCATCTATGTCGTTGATGAGATTAATTGCCGTTGTGAAGAAGTGCAAGAGGTTCTTAATAATATTTCTGGAAACCGGAAAAAACGAACAGAATCAAAGGTATAAACAAATAATATATGTTTATTTATTTGATTTCGAATGGAGCGAGTACTTTGTAATTCGGGTTGACGAAAGTTCATTTGACTGGTAGCTGATAATCAGACTTTTGTTTAGTTGTAGTCATTTTGTTGGCAGCTGTCAGGAGTATGGTTACTTTAGAAATAGGTGTGGCGCCAATCTGGTGTGGTAACATACTTGGCTTGTTTCTCTGGCAGTCCCTTCTCCATCTTTTGTCTATCAGCTATCTATATCTTTATATCCACTTAAAAATGAGCTTTAGACTTGGTTTCAGCTAATATCAAAAGTCTATTTGTGTTTTAGCATCCTACTACCACAGATTTTCAGGAAATATCAGCTTCTAATTGGTCAATAAACACACAAGTGGGCGTTGCAATCCACCCACGTACAAATATTTTTCCAGCGTGTGACCAAGTCAAGTTTTCCTGCCATTTTCCATGAACCTGTCACATGATTACATTAATCATAAATAGTAGACACAAGCTTGCTCTCTCTCTTCTTCCTTGATTTCCCTCGCTACAAGATGTAGTTGTAAAAAGGATCAATTCTCAACCATGGGTGGTCAGACATTAAAAGCATATTCACACATGCACATACGTACAAAATTTTCCAAACTACATTACAAACATACAAGCATTTCCAAACAAGCAACAAGAACTTTTCTCTTTGAAATACTCTTCTAAAGCTACAGTTTATTCAGTATTTCTCAGCTTTATAATTCATTCAACTTTTGTGAGCTCAGATAAAAATATTTCAATTCATCAGTAAAACTTTAATTCAGTCAAAGGGACATAAATAACATGAACAAAATAGTAACCTCTACGCATGTACATCATTACACAAAAATAAATATAAATGTTGATGTTATAAAACCGTTTTTATTCCTTCTTGTTGTTTCATATTTTGTGGTATTTTGTGTTACATATAAATCGTGTGGTCATGTTAATAAACAGACATCTACAAATGGTCATATATCTTAACATACCACAGCAGTGTTTTTAATTTTGATTGGCCAAAATCTTTTATTTTCTGGCATTCCTTTCTTTTTCTTTTTATAGCAGCTGTTCTGAATGCAGCCTCTCTTATTTTGGTAGATTTCTGAAAGGGATAGTAAAAGAAGCAAACCCTTTACCAGTCAAAGATCAACATTGAATTTGAAACCCTTTACTAATCTGGGAATCTTATTGGCTAACTGCTGCCCAATCAGGATCACTTTTTTGCAGCTACAGGCTAACCTCAATCCTGAAATCTTTTTTTTGCAACTAACAGCTGTAGTGACCACACGTTTATTGGAACCATCCTTTCTGACACTAATAGAATAAAGAAGTTATAAAGCCCAGTTGTTCCTTGGACACTCTACTAACAGTTAAATCTGCAAATATAAATTATATTTGCAAGCTTTTTTTTATCTATTAGGTAAACACCCTTTTCTGTATATTAAACACATTGAACATAATACAGTCGTTGAGTTGCTTCTCTTCTTCAAATGTGTCCATCTTTGTCTTTGTAAAATTTAATTGTTACTGAGAAAACTTTTGTAAATAACTAGACCCTGGACCAGCAAATTTCCACCTTTTCTTCTTCTTCCTCTTTTTATTTTAGGGTTGCTTTCTCATTGGTTGAGAAGGAAGTAGAAAGAAGTAATGGTTTTAAAGGAGAGCACAAATGCCTTATTTTAATTTTAATTTTTTTTTTTTTATTTATATATTTTATTTTCATATTTTACTTTTTTTATATTTGGGCTCACCACAACTAAAAATAACTGAAAACTTTGAAGTCACCATATATAATGAGGAATAGTAACAATGATGAGTACACATATATACATAGTCTTATATTTTATAAACAGAAAAATAACATCAACTCCTTGTTAACAATGGAATTAACAACTGGTAACACTTAATTATGGACCATGCATAAAGATTTAGATTTATAAACAATTTACTTTAAATTGAAGAACATTTTTATTTTTACTGAAACTAATATAAATGCGATGCAAAACTTAAGAAGAAAAATAATGAATTTTAACCCTTTGAGCTCTGACCACTGCCTTAACGGTGATAGAGAAAAATGACGTAATGCCCAGCCACCAATTGAACTGTGGTGGAGAAAAATGACTTAATGCCCAGCCACCAATTGAACTGTGGTAGAGAAAAATGACGTAATGCCCAGCCACCAATTGAACTGTGGTAGAGAAAAATGACTTAATGCCCAGCTACTGGTTAAACGGTTGTTAAACACTTGTAACTATTTTTATATCTACCGTGAAACATCACATACCAATTATTTGTGAATTTTAAATCAGGAGCTCAAGCAGAAGGGTTAAAATTGTTCAGGAATACAGGGTTCAAAGTGTTAAGAGAAAAAACAAACGTTTTGAAAAAAAATTTCAGTAATTTTACAAGATGACAAAATTAAGTACATATTATTTGAATTTATTAGATGAAACATTGTCAATTGTTATTAATTTTGATGAAGGCTTGTTCTTTATTTTTAATTTGTGCTAACATAGAATGATTGTTGCAATAAAAATCAAGAGAAATAAAATGAAAAACAAAATGCTTGTTAAAAATTATTAATAATCAATAAGTATAATAATGTATTTCAAATTAAATTATTTTCCCAGGATTTTATTAGTGTCTTATAGTTCAGTCATTACATAGAGTTTAAAGCCTGCTGCTTAAAGTATAGAGTTTACAACCTATTAAAAAACTGACGGCTTGTTTTTTTTAATTGCTCATAAACCTTCACCAGAAACTTTTTCAATTTTTGAGATCATAAACATCAATTATAACATTATCATAGTAAAACTATACTTATGAATAAAAAGTAATTAGATTTTAATTCAATAAGGTTCTCTACTTCAAAGTAAAGGAAAATTTTCTGTTATCTTGCTATAATATATTTAGCGCAAAAAGCTTGAGAGTTTTGTACTTTTAAAAATTTTTCAGTATTAGTATGCCATTGAATAAGTTGGCACTCTGTCACTCCTGTAAATATATATATATATAGAAAAAAATATATATACAAAAGTATATATATATATATATATATATATATATATATATATATATATATATATATTAGTGAATATACATAATATCCAACGTCGAGAGCATGACTCAGAGAGGAGCAACTGCATGAAACTCTGAGTCATGCTATTGACATTGGATATTATGTATATTCACTAATACATACTTATAGCTTTGTCTCATATCATTGAGCACTGTAGAGCAGAGAAGGGAAATTTTAACATTTTTTCTATATGAAATACACAAGCGGTCCAGAGAACTCAATTCATTCTTGAAGAGTAATGCATTAATAGCAGTAGGAGCCACTGTTTTTAAAATCTCCATTCTCTCGAAAGCTCAACTGGATTTCCTGGGAGCATAAATAGTGTCATCCACAAACAGACTGTTTCGCTGTTTCACAGCTCTTCAGTATGGCTAGATGTCCAATTGCTTACATATATATACTAGCAATGATATATTAATAATTAATATTAATGAAAAGTATGGTGTGGACCCCTTGACTGAAGGGAAGGTGATAAAAAGGACAATGTGTAATGTGGCACAATAGGTCCCCCATACTACTAGATTAGAAGACACATGATATCAAGTGAGCCCTAAATGATTTTATCAGCATCTGAAGTGTGGTGTGTTTTTTTATAGCCAGCAGTAAAATCTACAAAGTAAGATCTTCAAAGCAGCCACCCACGACCAGAAAAGAATAAAATAATAAATAAATGAATAAAAAAATTGAGGTTCAAGTGCTATGTGGTTGGAAGTTGCAAAATATGTAAGCAGAGTCCCAGTTAAATTTGGATGAGGGAAAAGTTGTCCATCCATCCAGCCAGTCAAAGTCATTCACAGTTGCTTGTTGGAAGTAAGAACAGATGAAAGGACCTGAGTGCCCCTTACTTACCCTACAGAGTGAGTGCTAGGTCCAACTTGGAACTAAGACAGTGAATAAATAACCAAATTGTTGATGGCATTAAATTCATCATCTATAATTTTATGAACATAGAATGGATCTTTCCCAGTTTTTGTTCTCCTCCAAAGCATATGAGAAGTGCATTATGATGTGGGGGTGATTTGTCTTGTTATAGACAAGCATATGGTTGCAAAAAAGAAATACGACAACAGCAGAAATAGATTTACGTGATTTATTTCAATAGGAACATGTGGTTTTGGGACAGCTACCTTGTGGTATAGTTCATAAGCCGGCTGCCAACCTGGGTTGATCTCTCATAGTAGTTCTCGCTGGTTGGCGTGACACTACTGCTGCTGACTGCTGCTGACCGACCGTGACTGATCTCTTCCCTGGCCTCCTGTTGACTGCTGTTGTACTTCCCCGTTTGACCCCTTTTATGGCGTTTTTTATGGCTTAACAGGCTCGAAAAATGACGCGAGTATAATTAGGAGGGAAGCATTTTTATCGGTCGAAAAATAGAAACACTTTAAAATATTATTTTATTTTTCGACCGGAACTCGTGCGTCAGGGTTATGTGTAAACAATGATAATGGACATTTTGTGACAGGGCCTTGTCCCATTCATATATTGAGTATGTTAGTTTATTTGCCTGCAAATCAGCCGAGATATGTCTTATTTTATTTTATAGCAGACTGATCAGTGAATAGCTGAGAGAGGGTCCCTATATTCACAATTATAAGAATGGTGGCAGGTATGTCCATATCTGGAGCTGGAGAAACTTTTAGTGTTGGTTAAATGTTGG